TGGGAAAATCAACTGCCTAAGTGGGGGACTATGTTTGTGGTTTCCCCTGGTTTTTCTAGAATTACTCTTTCCCCTTATGTCCTTGGCTATTTTCACTGCCTGCTGCCATAGGCCTGTTGGCTTTGCTGGTTGTCCAGGTGGGCTCCAGGAAGCAGACCCTAGAAATCCAGCAGTGCAGAATGGTGAGGTCCAAACAGCAAGCAGCCTCTAGTGCCAGTTCAGAGGCCTCCCAGCATGGCAGTTGGGGGCTTCTGGGTGGTGGTGGTTGAACCCCTTTTTTACTGTATTTGTTCCATAAGATACACATACTTTCTCCCCCACTCTTTGGGGGGGAAAGTGTGTCTTATGGAGCAAAAAATATGGTACATTCAGCAATACAGCTATTTACAAGTGTAGGTCTAAAATTCATCCAAAAAGGAAAAAAATAGCATTGACAGCAGCCAGGAGAATCAGTTGTTGAAGGCAGCTTGGAATTATTCTATTTTACAGATTAACGATCTGCAACATGTTGTAACTTGAAGGTGCTGTTTATAAAGTACCATTTGCTGTACAATACAAAGTAAATACTTATTTTTAAAATGTTTGCCTCTTACCTGTTGATTTTTTTTGTTAAGGTAATGGGTGCCTGCTGTGAAAATGTGATTGGATATATGCCAATCCCTGTGGGAGTGGTTGGTCCCCTTCTCCTCGACAACAAAGAGTTTCAAGTACCAATGGCAACGACAGAAGGTTGTCTCGTGGCAAGCACAAATAGAGGATGTAGAGCGATAGGTGTAAGTAGTGGTCTCAGAAGCAGGATTGGTTGTACTGTTTTAAACAGTGATTATAGGTTGTAGACAGCTGTCTCTTTACCAGAACAGTTTACGTACTTACTCCCTCTTCAACCTTCTGATGCAATGCCCCCTTCCCGCAAGTCAAATCTGCTGTAGAGGGTTAGGAACTCCCTGGGGATAGTGAAAGGGAGGTCCTGTTGTCAGAGCAAAAGTTTATTCATGCAGTATTCAGTAAGTTACATTATTTGTTGAACTGGCAACAGATCTACAAATCATTAACTATAGTCTTTGTGTTTTCATCTTAGCTTGGTGGAGGTGCCAGTAGTCGTATTTTGGCAGATGGTATGACACGAGGGCCTGTGGTAAGGTTACCGACTGCCTGCCAGGCTGCAGAAGTGAAGGCTTGGCTTGAAACACCAGTGGCGTTTAAGATAATCAAAGATGCATTTGATAGCACAAGCAGGTTCGCATTTTGTATTATTGGGGGGGGGGACATTCTTTTTCAGCAAAGCACTTAAAAGAAGTGCACTCGAAATACGTTTTAGGACAGGTTATATTGATCATATATTTTAAAATTCTTCATATAGGTTTGCTCGCCTACAAAGGCTTCATGTTGGTTTGGCTGGCCGCAACCTTTATATCCGCTTCCAGTCTAGAACTGGTGATGCAATGGGAATGAATATGATTTCAAAAGTAAGTTCCAGTATTTGTTTTGTGCACCTTCTCTAATATAACCTATGGGCAAGGAGGGAAAGAAGATAAGGATTGAACTAAGAAGATGGTTTCTTTGAGAAGACCACAGTTAGAAGTACTCTCATTTTGGCTTACAAAGTTACATTGGATCAAATGTTCTGTGTTCTGTTCAGATCTAGTCCAGTGTTTACCACAGCAAGGCCATTCATAGACGTCTTACTAAGCAGCTTCTGTTATGAGTAGATTTTCTGCTATTTGTAATTATGAAAAGTTTGCTGTAAAATCATGAGCAATTTTTCTAACTGCATGTTTTGCATATTGCTGCTGGAGTTCAGTAGAGGTTTTAGTGAAGAATATTGAAATGAAATTTAGTTAATATATTTATAATAATGATCTTAAGACTCCAGCTCCGGATTTTGCCTCTAGGTTAACTCCTGAAGCCTTTTCCATGAGGAATATTGAAGTGAAATGTAGTTAATATATTTATAATAATGATCTTAAAACTGCACAGTTGGAAGACAGACCCTGTGGATCATCAAGTCTGTTCCTCCAGGGAGACCTAACCTCTGGCTCTGCAGCCACATACCTGAGCTATTTCTGATTTATCCCCTGTGCACACCAAGTATCATACCTTGGGATGGATTTCATTCTATACAGCAGGGCTCCGTAGCTTTGCTTTTGGCTGCAAAGTTTGTTTCTGATGTATGGCAACTTTATGAAGTAAAGACTCCCAGAAGACCCTCTCATTAATAACTTCGCTCAGGTCTTGCAAGTTACAGTCCTTTTTCTTCCCTTCCTTCCATAACTTTCTCCAAACAGGGCACTGAGAAGGCACTTGCAAGACTACAAGAAGAGTTTCCTGATGTCCACATTGTCGCCGTTAGTGGTAACTACTGTACAGATAAAAAGCCAGCTGCCATAAACTGGATAGAAGGAAGAGGAAAGTCCGTGGTCTGTGAAGCTGTCATTCCAGCAAAGGTTGTTAAAGAAGTGAGTACTGTGTGGGCTGGTTCCATTTAATGCAGCATGATTATTAAATGCTTGTGGTAAATTCATTTAAAAATTAGCTCAGTGTACTTTTTTGTTACCGTTCTCTGTCTTGCTCAGTGAAGTTCAATATGTTTTCCCTGTGGTTCCTGTGCAGAATCTCAGTAAGGCAGCTGGACAGGGCACATGTGCTAGCTTCACTTCAGCCATCGAACTGTGTTACACAGTTTCAACCATCTAGCATTTGTTTTAGTTCCCACAGTAGATACAGCTGGAAAACTGTTATTTGCTTGCTACCCGGTTGGCTATGGAATTACACGTGTGTTTATTTTCTCTTGTGAGAATTAGAAATGAGTTACCATTCTACTACCCACAAGAATTGTATCTGAGTAAGGAGTTGTGTTTCTGAATTGTGTGCATTTAATGCTTCATTTTTTTATGTGGCGGGATTTATTCCAGGTACTGAAGACTACTACAGAAGCTATGATTGAAGTCAATATAAACAAGAATTTAGTTGGTTCAGCAATGGCTGGCAGCATAGGAGGCTACAATGCTCATGCAGCAAATATTGTCACTGCCATGTATATTGCATGTGGGCAGGTATGTGTTCATTTCGTTTAATGTTGTATGTGTAAGTAAGAGAGAAGGAAAAAAATATATGTAAAAACCTGTTAATACTAAAATGCTATATGTTTGTGGTGGCTATAGGATGCAGCGCAAAATGTCAGCAGCTCAAACTGTATAACCCTGATGGAATCAGCTGGTCCTACCAATGAAGATCTGTATATTAGCTGCACTATGCCATCAATAGAAATTGGAACTGTGGGTGGAGGAACCAACCTTTTACCACAGCAGGCTTGTTTGCAGGTATGATGCAACAGGTGAAATACAATTGCTGAACTGTAATCCTAACTAGTTCTGTGTTGTGTCCTACAACTGAGGCCTTGGTTTCTGGCCCATGTTTTGCAATTTGGAATCTGCACTCTGCTGGAAAACTCCCACATTTAAAAACCAGATTTAAAAGCTTTTTATTGCTTGCCAGTGGACTGCAAAAGACAAGAGACACATTGTGTGTTTGTGAAATTTAACATGTTAAGTGTACTTTTTTTCTAAAATGATTTTGATTCCACATTTTGGACCATTTTGGTCTCCTGTGACTGGTAGTATTTTTCCAAGATCGCCAGAGATTTTTTCCCCAGTCTTGCTCCCTGAGTTTTTATGTCTGAGATGCCAGGCATCAAACATGTGATTTGCTGAATGCAAAGGCCTGTTGGGCTATAGAGCCTACTTAACTTTTCCAAGTTTGGGGGTGGGGATTAGAGTTTGCAAGATGATGAGGACTATTTTGTTTCTGAGTTTACAAGGTGATGATGACTATTGTATTTCTGAGTATAACATGCATGTGCCTTTTTGTAAACTTTCTAAAGCATATTATTGTCCCTTGTTACTTACAGATGCTAGGAGTGCAGGGAGCAAGTGCAGAGAACCCTGGAGAAAATGCCCGTCAGCTGGCCAGAATTGTGTGTGCTACAGTGATGGCAGGAGAGCTGTCTTTAATGGCTGCTTTAGCTGCAGGCCATTTGGTCAGAAGCCATATGGTCCACAACAGGTAAGAAAGAGCAGAATTAATCCAGACGCCTTGGTCCTTTCTTCATAACAGAAATAATTAAACTTAAGCCAAACCTCTAGTTCTTATCCTGTCAATGAAATACAGTGTGGTTTTCTGACAGACTTGAATTTGTCCTTGTTTTTGACAGATCAAAAATAAATCTGCAAGATCTTCAAGAAAAATGTCCCAAGAAGGTTGTGTGAATATTGACAGAAACATGAAGCAAAAAGCACTGCTGTGGCAAACTGACAAATTGAAAAGAAACAACACATCTGTGAATTTCAGATGGAAGATTCAATACAGTGACTTTGGAAAGACACTTGATGGGATCAGTGGATGTGTAGCCCTCACCTGGCTTCCTGCATCCTTTCCCCCTTTGTCTGACATAAAAGGGTGCTTCTCTGTGGGAATATTTTAGATGGTTTTGATATTGACATTGACCTCTAACTTGTCTTCAGCCATACATTTTGTAGAGTGGGGCCTCATGTGGTCTGTCCAAACTATCCAGAGTACATCATGGCTAGTACATCACAGAGGAGAAATGCCAGTTTTACAACTTGCTGTTTTTTTAAACCAGTCTACCCTACCCCACTGGTTGCTTTGCAGTGTTTATCATCATCACCATCTGTTTCCAGGCTAATCTGTATCCTCTGCATATGAGCCTGCAAAAGCCACTGACCTGGTACCAAATCCATCTCATTTCAGCAAAGTCACAAATTGCGAGTAGGATGAAAACAGCTTTCTGGGTTATCATCATCTCTGTGCCTGCTCAGTTTGCTTCTAACAAACTTATTTTTCTTTCAGTTTAGGATTTGAGTATCAGAATAATTTAATTGAGTCAAAACATTACTTAGAAGCCTCTTTCAGGATGCTTCATTTTCTATCATGCTGTGTATACAGCTTTGAAGTACTTAAATTTTTACACTGTTTAAGAAAAAATACGGATTGCTACAATACAGATATTAGTAGAGACTGTATTTCAGTGTTTAAAGCAACAGAGTTGAAATTCTCAGTGGATTGCTACAATACAGATATTCTTAGTAGAGACTGTATTTCAATGTTTAAAGCAACAGAGTTGAAATTCTCAGCTGCTTTCTTCAGATAGACTTGGTTTATCTTGCACTGGGCTATAAAACTGTCCATGATCCACTGGAATGTTCTCATGGACAAGTCCTGTGGAACTGAGCAGTAGCTGCTCATGCAGCTGTTAATTTTAGAGGCACTTTTGACAGGAGAACTTCCTTGTGGCCTGTACCATTGATAATAGTAAATGCTTACATGTTTTAATGGAGATGGTTTTGAGTACGTAAGTCAGAAATCTGTTTACACTTCTCAATCATCACTTTAGAGTATGAATTTTCTGGAGGAATGGATGTGTGTTTGGAGATGCGAGACATTAAAATTCACATTGCTTTGTGATACCTTATTTAATATTTCTTTTCATGAAGTTGTAATTTATTTGGGAGCACATTCCAAGTTGCTTAAAAAAACAAACTGTTAACCTACAGTGTTGAAATACTGTTAGAGGAAAAGTGAATGCAGTTAAGATCACTGCTTGGCATTGAAGCCTACTACAAGGGCTACTCAGATGAGCTAGTCTGAAGAGGGGGAGCAAGAGGTCAGATGTACGCCTCAGTAGTTGCTGGATGCAGTGATGGCTCACTGTTCCAGAAGAGGTAAAAATTTGAATTTGCCAGCTGGTGTGTCCTGTGGCTTCCCTTTGGTGCAAGTTCAGTAAAAATTGTGGAACTCTCATTTTTTGTTTGTGTTTTTTTACAGAAAGTCTAGTTTGTATGTCTTAAGTTTGCAAAGCTAATGCAGATCATCTGCTGCTGCTTGCTTGTTATGTGCTGTGGCTTGTAAATAGCATCATGAGCATCCATCTTCCTACAGTATTGTTATTTCAGAGGGTTCCCTTTTTATTATTTATGCAGTTCAAAATTAATTGTTTTATTTCATGCAACACTGGCCTAGCAATAAATGGTTTGTACAGTGTCTCTTTGGGGAAATGTAACTGACATTCTGTCTGTCAAAAGTCAAGAAACCTTTTTCTATTGTTACAAATTGTGTACATTTTAGTACAGGCACTTTCTCAGTCTCAGTAAAGCAGTACATAAGCTATTGAGTTAAACCATATGGCTGATTTGTATCATTCTAAAGATAATTACTGACTGAGCTGCAGTCTTTATCAGAATTTTGGTAACAATCCTATTCCTATTGAGTGCTGCCAATAGGTTTTGCATTTCAAAGTTGCCGAAGGATCCAGTTCCCCAAAATTATAACTAACAGTTTGAAATGGGTTGCTGCATTGCATATTCTGGAATCAGGGAGTAACTTTTGATAGCTGTGAGGGTTCGAGTCCTGGCTCCATTTTTTCTTCAAATAAATGGACAGACTTCCTTGGTTTGGAAATTGGAGTCACATCAATTGGATTATTTAACCAACAGTCTATATCTACAACCATTGTCTCCCTCTAACAACGGGTTAGGAGGGGGCTTCCAGTCTTTAACTTTGAACGGATTAGTCTCCTGGGTATTCCAGGAACCCGGCCAGTCCAGGGTATACAGTCTGTGTTTAATAATTGTCCATTCTCGCCCTCCAGTAGGGGCACTGTGTCTTTGTCCCAGTCATCTGTCCAGATCGGGCTTCTGGAGGAGGTAATGTTACAGAACACACACTACTGCTTTGTACAGTTGTAACAGTTATCAATGAAAGCGTGATAGATTGGATCCAAACTCAGTTTTTGAACAGCTGAACTAAAATCAATGGGATTTATTTGGTCTACTCTTAATTGTATAGTGTGCAACCAACTAATGTGAATTGACTGGCTATGAAGGTGGTGCCAATATGAGGGATTTGGATTTGGGACCACAGGCTAAGCTTTCTGGAAGATGGACTGCTGGCAAGTGATGATTTGCAACTCACAAGAGATAGGAAGAATATGTTTTGTCACAGCATGAAGAACATAATCAGGAGAGCTTTAAACTGAATTGGAAGCAGGAGGGAGAGACAACCTCAGAGGTAAAGACGGGAAAGCTTATGTACAAAAAGAGGAACAGACCACTCTAATGGGGGCCACAATAATCTTCAAAAAAAGTAGGAAATAAAGCATGCTGCAAATCACACACTCTCCTGTGTATATATACAGTGGTGCCTCACACAATGAGTGCACCATAGAGCGATGAATTCGCTCTATGAGGCCAGTTTTGCGATCGCAAATGCGATCACACACCGATGCCTCAATAGGGCGAAAATCGCAGAGCGAAGGTCGGTAAGCGGTTTGCTTACCGACCTTCGCTTTGCGACCCGCCGATCAGCTGTTTGGCGGGTCCAAAATGGCCGCCAGAAGCCCCAAAATGGCCGCGCAGCATTTTCGCGCCCGCGTTAAGCGAGGGGAGGGCGCGAAAATGGCTGCCGGCCATTGAGAAAGCATCACTGTCCGTTGAGTAAAGCTGCTATTGGAACACATTAAACTAAGTTTAATGCATTCCAATGGCTTTTTCCTTCCCGTACAGCGATGTTTTCACACAGCGAGGGTTAATCCGGAACCGATTAACCTCGCTGTGCGAGGCACCACTGTACTAATGGAGTATGGCAGAAGTATGGGAATTTTAAAAATCCTAGTTTAAGAAGGTAAATATGACTTGACAGGGATAACTGGAACTTGACGGGATGATTCCCATGACTGGAATACAGTAGTTGAAGTATATAAATTGTTCAAAAACAACAGAAAGGTAGAGTAGTACTATACAGTACAGTGGTGCCTCGCAAGACGATTGCTTCACATGATGACGAATTCGCTTTACGATCAGGTTTTCAGAGTGATCTTGTGCTTCGTTTAACGATGTTTCCTATGGGCGATTTTCGCTTTATGTTAGGGACCTTGCCTCACAAGACGGTTAAATTTTAGGTCCCTATTTTTCGCTTTACGATGTTTTTGACAGCTTGGTCTTGCTTCGCTATATGAGTCTTTTAATGGTCTCTTTTGTTAGACGGTTGTCTTTGCTTGGGAACCGTGCTTCGCTTAACGATGTTTCCTATGGCAATTTTCGCTTCACGATGACAATCCGTTCCCATTGGAACGGATTATCAAGTTTTCAATGCATTTCAATGGGAAAACGTGTTTCACAAGACGATGCTTTCGCTTAACAGCGATTTTCGCAAAACGAATTAACATCATCTTGCGAGGCACCACTGTATGTCAAAACACATATTCCTGCATAGAAATACAGGAGGATGAGGTTAGTTGTCCCACAGAGAGCATCTGGATTAATAGAATTGTGGCAAAAAAACAAAAGGAACATGGTAGTTGGAATCTAAAAACACACTGATCACCATAATCGCCCATCTCCTGAAAAGGACAAAAGCTGATCCAACAGCTATAAATACTCCCAAACAAACTGCACAAGAGCACAGAGTGCTACTCCAGTCCGCTGAAGATGCCGGCCACAAAGACTGGTGAAACGTTAGGAAGAACAACCTTCAGAACATGGCCAAAGAGCCTGAAAAACCCACAACAACCATTAGATCCCGGCCGTGAAAGCCTTTGCGAATACATACGAAGGAAACTGAATTTTTTTTTCAAAGAAACACAATTTAGTAGTAATGGGAGTGTTCAATTATCATATCAGGAGACAAATTCTGTCAAATATGGACCTTCTGATAAATTCTAGGCTTATATGGCTGATAGTTTTCTTCTGCACAAGGTGGAGGAAGAACCCAGAGGAATGGTAGTCCTGGACTTGATCCTAACCAATAGACATGACTTGGTGAAAAGAGTGGCAGCAAGAAAAACTCTGGGGGAAAGTGACCATGTTCTACTTGAGGTTGTCATTTCAAATGAAAGAAAAGCAGAGTGTAGCCACACATATACACTGGACTTTAGGAAAGCCAATTTTAATGAACTCAGAACAATTACAGGTAAGGTCCTGTAATTAGAAGGAAGGCCAAGCTACAAAGGCAGAGTACAGACAAGTAGCAAAGAATTGCAGGAATGGCATTGGAAGGCAAAAGCTGAGTATGAGTCAAGGTTAGCAAAAGATGCTAAAAGTAACATAAAAAGCATTCTTCAAGTACACACATAGCAAAGGGCAGAGAGAGAAAAACAATGACTCAGCTACTCAGTGAGATGGGATAACAGGTGACAAAGTAAAGGCAGAAGTGCTCAATTCCTACTTCAGCTTGGTCTTCTCCCAAAAGACAGTCCATACTCCTCTAGGCAAA